GTGTGGCAAATGCACTTTCCAGATTGCAGTAAAAATGTTTGCGTTATACTTAGCCTGTGCTGCCTCCTACCACCAGGTTTTTTTTGTTGTTTTTTGGTTTGGTTGGTTGGTTGCCTGGTTGGCTTTTTGGTGCTAGAGATTGAACCCAGGGCCTTACAAATGCTAGCCACTACCACTGAACTACATTCTCAGCTGTTAGAATCAGTTTTATATTCAACAATTTTAGGTGTCAAAGCTATTTCTTATGGGACAGCTAGTAAGATGAAGTCTCAGATTTTGGTATTAAGGAGAAAATATGCCCTTTAAAATTTCTTTCCTTTCCAGTGCTCTCAATCACTTTGTACAAGCGTGTATGGCTAACTGGCTTATAATTATTTCTTTATGAGTCTTGAGTTCTCCATTGGAGAAGATCCTTAAAAGTATTTCCAGGAGTCAGTATAGCTCCTGAGAATTAGTAAGTGCTCAATATTTACTGGAATAACATTTCCATAATAGTTCTGAGACAGTTCTACATATGAACCTCTTTTTTTGCCTGTGGGAAGAGATCTTTGTTTTGTCTTCAAGCCTATTGAAATTCATTTTGAACTGGAAAGTTGTGGATAGGATGTCCTGGCTGACCTTTTAAAATGCTGAGTGTATTGTTTAATGTTGGAATTCTCATCATGGCCTAGGTTTGGGTCTATGGTTAAGCTGTTTCTCTTTAGATGTCATCTGTGTGCTATGTCTTAAGGCTGAGTGTTTACCCTGGCTCTTCAGGCTCCCAAGAATACACCAGTGATTCAAGATGTTGGCCTTGAGGTGCCCCTTTCCCTTCTCTCCTCTTGGCTTTCTCACGAGTTTCTGTCCCAAAACTGGTGCAAGATGTGGTTTGTTTGGGTTTTTTTGTTTGCTTTGTTTATATAATTATTTTTGATGGGGATTGGACCAAAGGTCATGGGCATGGTAACTAAGCATTCTACTACTGAGCTACACCCCAACCCTACATGTACTCCTTTAATAGTCAGGTAAACATTGAATTTTCATAGTTCTCTGGTAAGTGGACTAATCATACCAGAATACAGATTTTAGTACTAACGTAGACCCCGTGGTTTGCTTAGGTAATCAGAGTGACTGCTTCAGCTAAATAAACTTGAACATATATGAGATTTCTTCGAGCTTCAGTATTAGTTTGACTGTGGGAGATCCTGATGCAAATAACCCTCTTGTCCTTAAGAAATATTTTAGGGATTTTTTTCCTCCCATATTGTATATCTAGCTTAATAAATTGATCTGAAACTGTTCTTTCATATGTGAGGAATAATATATTCTGCCTTTCCCATCTAAAATACAAATTACTAGCTGCGCGTGGTGTTGCATGCCTGTAATCCCAGCACTCAGGAGGCTGAGGCAGGAGGATTGCTGTATGTTGGAGGCCAGCCTGGGCTACATTAGTGAGTTCCAAGCCAGCCCGCTACATAGCTGGTTTTATACCTGATACACAGGAGGTGTTTTCCCTAGCTTCACTGACTACTTACCATCTGTTCTGTGAGCATTCATTGCTGTATGAAAGAGGAAAGTGAAAGGAGGTGGAGAAAAAAACAAAGCTGGAGAAGAGGAAACAGCTGGAAGCTTGGGGATGGGGGACCACCCTAAGGTTGGTAAAATGAAGCAAGGCATGGTCAGACCCTTGGGGTAGAGGGCTCAGTAGTTTGTCAGCTAATTGACCATAGCCTTGCATACTTTGTTAAGGAGACCAAAGGTACTTCAAAGGAAAACCTAGATTCTTCCCTATGTACCTTAGGAAATTGTTCATCAGGTCAGAATCCTGTCCTCTGGAATATTGCTCTTGTTTCTTCAGACCTAGCAGACTATGCAAAGGCAACCAAGAGCAGTGATATTTGTGGACAATGGCAAGTAAGCTTGATGTATTATTCACAATTTAAGAGTAAATGCTTAATAGTTATTGTCCCTATGCTGAGCTTCAGATATCCTTACGTGGGCCCCTTCACTTTTATGCTTGGGGCCAGGGATATAGCTCAGTGGCATAAGCACCTGCCTGGCAAGCACAAGGTCCTGAGTTTGATTCCTGGTACAAGAAAAAAAACAAAACAAAACACTTTTATACTTGGATCAGATGAACAATTATAGAACTTTAGGGAGCCTTTAGGTCAGAGACTCAAGGTCAAGAGGTATTCTTAATAGAGCTAATTTCTTTGTCAGAAATCTTAACCAGATGTTAGGTTGTCCTCTTGTGTTGCCATCTGCTTTTTAGAATGGAGCAGGCTCCCCAAAGCTAAGTCTGGCTAGTCTTGTGTTGTTCTTGTTTTTGTTTATGTTTTGAGACAGGATCTTCCTATGTTCAGGTTGGCCTTGAACTCATTATATAGTGCAGCCTGACTTCAAACTCACAGTGATCCTCCTGCCTTAGACCCAGTGCTGGGATTACAGGCGTGCACCAACATGCCTAGCTAGTCTGGCTGGGTTTGTGATGTTACAGTGTCAAGTCACTGCTGCTCACTTCTTTCACAGGGAACCTACAATGTAAATTCCTCAATATGTGTTTCAATACTCCCTATTCCTTTCACTTCCAGGAATGGAGAAACCTCCATCTGAACATCAAATTGGCCCAATGGAGAAGAAACTGGCATGTTTCTGTGGGACTTTGGGTAAAGCATATTCACTAGATTCTTGCCTCACCCTACTCTTCATAGGGACATTTGGGCAGGCATTACAATTAATAATTTTTTTGCACATGAGCAGCATAGGCTTTTTCTTTTTTTTTTAAGTTTAGCTTTTTTGGATTTTGGTTTTTGAGACAGGGTCTTGCCACGTAGCCCAGGCTAATGAATTTGAAGCAAACCTGCTGCCTCAGCCTCATAAGTGCTGGGATTACAGCATGCACAACCATGCCTGGCTTTGTTTTTTGAGGCAGAGTCTCACCATGTAGTGCAGGCTGGCCTCAAACTCACTATTTAGCCCAGGCTGGCCTGGAACTCATTTAGTGTCATTACACCCCTCTTTGTTAATGTGTTTGGGGTGGGTGCTATAATACTGAGAAGAGGTTCACCTTTATATCAGAATAACTTTGTGGGTTTTTTGTTGTTGTTGTTTGGTATTGGGAATCAAACTAACAACCTACACTTGCCAGTCAGGTGCTGTGGCGCTGGGCTATATCCTCGGCTCATATCAGAATAACTTTGTGTAAGGATTTAATGTTTTTGACGTTGAGCACAATGTTGTAACTGATGCTAAGCTTTGTAGTTTGCTTCAGGCCTGCCAAGTATGTGTGACTGTTAAGTGTCAATTCTTTTTCAAGCTCAACCATTACCCCAGGCCTCGGGCATCTAAGGGCACTGAGGGACAGGTGTCCAAAGCAGAAATGTTGGTGCCCATGAGTGTGTTTTGCAGTTGTATTGAATTTCTTGGTGTATTTTTGACCTGTCTTGGTTTCTTTCCTGCTCGTGGTTATGCTATTTTGCTTGCTACTTGTTAGGTATTCTCTGTCAAGTCATTCAAGAGTTGTAAAATGGAAGTTAGTATTTTTAAACAAATGCTTTATGGATGAAACTGATAGTTTTAGCATTGACTTTGCCCCAGCCAAGAAAAGTTAATGTGATAAATGTGTTGGTGACTTTGGACTCATTTTTAGAATCTTGAGTGTATGAACCTTTTTAGAAACAATAGTTTTAATTAAGAACCCTCAACTACAATTTGAACTGTCTACTTGGAAAATGGGTAGGCTTGTTCCCTATCCTTTTGTCTGTGAAAGTTCCATCTGACAAGGAATTTAAATAGGTATTCAGGAAAATTATTGTTTCCCCTTCTCACCTTCCCAAGTAGTTAAAATAGACATCTAGTGATGATACTTTAGGTAGCAGAATCAAAATACAAAAGCAACTTTGGATGACAGCATGGACCACAGGCATGTGGCTTTAAACTCTTACTGTGACTATCCAACCCAGAGGGAACGTGGTGGGACGGGAGATTGTGCTTTCTTCCCAGAGAATCCTAGGAGTGTTTTGGTGGGGATGAAAGAGTGGTGGTCTTTTTGGTCTGGTATGAGTGTGCTTCTTCTTGATTGCATTGAGGCTGCTATTGAAGGGTAACCTTTCTGGCTAGTGGTTTTTGGTATTTAAAATATTACTGTCTTGGGTTTTTTTTGTTTTTGGGGTGGCGGGGTTGAGACGGGGTCTCGCTATAGTTCATGCTGGCCTTGAGCTCACTTTGTAGCCCAGGCTGGCCTCGAACTTGCTACAGTCCTCCTGCCTCAGCCTCCTTTGTGCTTGGATTACAAGCATGTGCCACCATGTGCGGCTGCAGAATTTCATTATGTTCCTAAAATTCTAAGTCTAATCTAGATCCTTAATATACCTACACAACTTTAAAACTCTTTCCTAACTAGGAAGGAAATAGCCTGTTGCTTTCAAATACTATACCCTATTTGCTAAATGTTGTCTTTAGAAAAACAAATCTTGTTTTTTTTTTTTTTGTCTTTTTGAGACAGGACCTTGCTGTACAGTTTAGGTTAGCTCTGAGCTCACTTTGCAGCCCAAGCTGGTCTCAAACTCACAGTGATCCTCCTGCCTCAGCCTCCCAAGGGCTGGGATTACAGGCCTGCACCACCACGCCCCGCCAGAAAAACAAATCTTAATAGGCATCTTCCTCTGTCAAGTGTCAGCCCTTTGGCCATTTACCTTAGGGCACTTTGAATGAGAGAGGCAGAAAGAAAACCTGTTGCCTAAAGTATGAAGGCTAATTTACTGTCTCCGCAGATAAGCTGAGTTCCAACCCCAAAGTTAATCTAGAAGCACTCAACAGCATCAGTAGAAATATTTGCTTAGCACTGTTACATTTCAAGAATGTTCTAAGAGCCTTACATATATTTCTCACTTTGTCCACGGGTTTGCCCCTGTCAGGGGGTATTTTTGTTCTCATTTTTAGATGATGAAACAGGCCCAGAAAGGTGAGACAGCATTCAACTTGGGGTGGAGGAGGAGAATCTGAATAGGGTGAGTTGGGCATCTGACCTGTTAGATGGTGGTAGGTACCATATTGTTTACTTAAACAATGAATATTTTGGGTACTCATTGTGTTTGAAGGTAACATTCCTTTACTCACTGAAAGGTGATTTTAATTGAGATAAATTTATTAGATAGATAAGATAGAAATATAGATATCTGTTGTCTTTTGACAAATATATATTATCTGTGGAAGCTGGCCTGAGGGAGGAGCTCATTTTCTTTGTGGTTAAAGGTACTGTCCTAAAGGTAAAAATGTCCTTTCTATAGATGGAGTTTTTGAACCTACTGGTTTGAGTTGGAGTTCATTGTTGTTGAGTCCTTGTTCCAAACTTTTGGGTATTTTCCACCCAGAAAGTTTTTGATGTTTAAAATTTCATCTGAATTTAGAAGGTTAATTTTCTTTTAAGGGAGTTTGGGGAAAATCAGAAATTCTGATTTTGTTTATGAATAGAAGACAAAAATAGTCATTTTCCTGAAGAAAAGTGATACTTCTGAATTCTGGCTCTTCAGTAATGAGAATGGGACTTCTTCATTGCACCTCTACTTCCTGCTACTGGGGCAACTCTTTCCCAGAGATGCTATGAGAAAGATTGCTAGGAAAAGGTCTTCTAGACTTTAAGAAGCTTAAGAGACTCCACAATGCTGTCATTAGAAAAATGATATTCAAGCTGGGCTTGGTGGCTCATGCCTATAATCCCAGCACATGGGAGGCTGAGGCAAGAGGATTGCCATGGGTTTGCAACCAGCCCTGGGCTACATAGTTCAAGGCCAGCCTGGATTTTATACAGTAAGACCTTGTGTGGAAAGAAAAAAGGGAATAAAAATGTTATTATGTGCTAGTTTTCCAAATCCTGAAGCTTCATTTTCACCACAGTTTGTTTGCTTGGTTTTTATTTTATTTTATTTTATTTTTTTGAGACAGGGTCTTACTCTGTAGCCCAGGCTGGCCTTGAACTCATTATGTAGACCAGGTTGGCCTCAAACTTGAGGTGATCCTCCAGCCTCAGCACCACTGTTTGAAAGACAGGAGCTAAGGAGAAGAGGCTATATCCTGAAAACAGGAGAATGCAGTACAAGGACCTCAAAGTGAATGTGTTAAGGCAGAGGAACAGCGGACACTGTCCACTGAATGAAAATAAAAAGATATGCAGTGTTCAAGGTCAGAGCAAAAAACATGAAGATCTCAGTTTACTTTGCTAATTCCTTAGATTTACGTCTTCGTCCCTTCTTTAGTTTGCATGTATACATAAACTTAGGCTTCCTAAACCATTTTCTTTCCAAAGGTGACAAATGAACATTTATAGGAGACACACAGCAGTCACTGTGGGAGTTTAGCTGAGGAATGTATCAGAAACTCTTCGTCATTTTCTGTTCCCCTCCTAGGCTGACCCTGATGTGTTACCTGCTTCTGCTACCGATCCAAACTGCAGAACTTCTCATTCATCCCCATGGCCTCCGGGCAGTATCCAATGGGGAATCAGCTCTAAAAGGAACCAGACCAACGTTTTCCAGCCCCTTTATTCTGGTGACTGATGGAAGGAAAGAGTGGGAGGGGGGATATACTTGTGTACTGACTGAAAAAGAAACAGACTATCAAATTACCATACCTCTTTTATCTGCAGCCATATTAATTGAATTGTGTATGTATTTGGGGAAGTTGGAGGTGATGACCTTCATTAGAAGTGACTGGAGGGGAATAAATGGAGGGGATGAGAGTCAGCTGATTTTGAAAGATGTTCATGATTGAAGTAATGTGTTCATCTGAGAATCTTTTTAAGTTTATAAAAATACCATTGATATAGCCTGTCCCCTCAGTTCCCCACCACTGACTTTTTGGACTGGAGACACTTGTTTAATAATAGCTTGTCTCTGATATTCCCAGTAATTACTTCTATGTGAGGAAAGGATAGAAAACGTTCAGGACATCATCATATAAACTCCTCATCTACAAAGTTCCGGTAACAGTGACATCTACACAGAAGACTTGGAACTGCAAACAGGATGGAGTCACCTCAGTGACATCTCTTGATGCTGCCCAAACACAAGTTTGATTTTTGTTTTGCGGGGTGCAGAAGAAAGGAGACTGTACTAAAAGACTAAAATAATTTTTTGTCTATACTTTCTCACTTGTTTTTATTTTTTGTTTGTGGTTATTTTGGCGGGAGAGGAAGGGTTTGGGGATAGAATTTCACTTCATATCTGGAGTGAAGGGGAGGAGAGGAAGCTCAGCCCTTCACTCAAGAATAACCCAGTAATGACATCTCTAAGCGTGGGAAGTGTTTCCCTCAGTACTGGGAGGATCTAAGGCTGCACCCCAGTGGGATTCCCGGCTTGAATTGGAAGGCCATTCAGAGGGCGATGGCATGGCTTAGCGAGAGCGAGAGCTTAGCCTGCCAGGGATGAAATGCCAAAGAGGAGAGATGAGGTCGAAGGGACGTCCCCCAGTTTGGAGGTGGGGGCAGTGCTGCATGTGACTTAAGAGCCTGGTGCCCGCTAAGGCCTGTGTCCTTCGCTGAGGGTCTGACACGGAAGCGACGCTGCTGGGCACCGAGTCCGAGTCACGCGAAACGGCCCAGCTGTGCCCAGGCGGCCAGCGCCAGACCCTGGCGTCCTCCATCTTCTCTCCTGAGCTCCCCCTGCTCCAGCTGCCAGAGCTGCGGACCGCAGCACCACAC